GTGAGAGCCATAGGAAGACTACCTTGTCAGATATGAGAGGTCGATGAACCCGCAGAGACTTGGTTGACTCCAAGAATCTAGTTTTTTAGGGATTCAGAGGATTCCAGGATGTTCCGAGTAGGAGTCAGCTGAGCCGTGCTTGGTTTGGCCGTCGTCGTGTCCTTGGCTTTAGATTATTTGGTCGAGGGTTTGTATGCTCGCTTGTCGTGAAGTTACCAACACTTGTTCCAAGTGTGGTTGGGCTTGTGACAGTAATTACTAGTGTTGTGACTGTTTTGAAGTGCCATGGATGAGGGTTGAGCATTATTTGAGAACAAGGCAGATGATTTGACTGAAGGAGTAGAAGCGCCGAGTATGACAAGTCTCCTGCTTATTGGGATGTTCCGGGTAGAAGTCAGTTGAGCAGTGCTTGGTTCTGCCATCCTTGTAAGTCTCTTGGTTTTAGAGGATTTGATCGAGGGTCTGTATGTCGGCTTACTGTGAAGTTTCCAACACTTGTCCCGAGTGTGGTTGGGCTTGTGATAGTAATCACAAGTGGGGTGACCGGTTTGATGTTCCATGGACGAGAACGGAGCACTACTTGAGAACAAGACATACGATTTGACTAAAGGAGTAGAAGCGTCGAGCATGACAAGTCTCCTGCTTTCTTCTCTACGAATTTCAGTGAAAGTAGCACGAGCAGAAGGAAGAGGATCCTGACCAAAGATATGACCCCAAACTTCATCAAAGTCTTTGTTAAGGCCAACAAGGAATTGAAACATACAGTCCTTTTCTATGATCTTTTAGAAGAGGGATAAGTCGGCTGGAGACTCCCAAGTTTAGTCGTAGTACAAGTCACAGTTCATCCATATTGCAACAAGGTCATTATAGTACTGGGTCACAATTCTTGATCCCTTTTTTGCCTCCTAGATCCTTTTAGATACCTCATAAAGTAAGCCAAAATTTCCTACATCTGAGTAGGTATCACTGACAACCGTTCAGAGAGCACAAACTGAAGGGAGGAACATGTAAAAATGAGAAATTGACGTTTCCATAGTGCTGATCAGCCATGATATGACCATGAAATTCATTACTTCTAAAGCTCTATATGTCTGGACACTCTTTGGAGGCTCACGAATCACGCCTATGAGGTGACCAAACTTCCCCCGTTCTTTGATGAACAACGAGATCGTTTGGGACCATTAGAAGAAGTTGCCGTTTAACTTGTAAGTTGTGATCAAGAAATTCAAGTTGGCTTTTGGTCCTCCAGTCTGCCCGGAAGCGGAATTTGGAGTTAATCCTTCGGTGGAGTCAAGAATGCTAGCCAAATTTCGACTGAGCCAAAGGACATGTTGTAGTTCCGAGCCATCGATGAATTTCGATAGAATCACGACAAACAAATACAACAGGAATTGCGGGTTGCAGGAAATGCTAGATTCCTTAAAAAGACAACAGAACAAGCGACTCCACTGGACATGAACCTGCAGGAATTGCTCTGGCGGCGGTTGAAAACTGCAGGAAGAGCAAACACCTACAGGGATCTGGCGGAATAAGAACTTGTTGGGCCCGACAGAAATTTGGTGGAAGAACCCTTCTGGAATTCCTGAAATTTGATGGAAGAAGCATTCTGGAATTCCTACTGTTTGCAGAAACTTACTGTTTGCTGGACCCGACAGAAATTTGATGGAAGAAGCATTCTGGAATTCCTACTGTTTGCAGAAACTTACTGTTTGCTGGACCCGACAGAAATTTGATGGAAGAAGCATTCTGGAATTCCTACTGTTTGCAGAAACTTACTGTTTGCTGGACCCGACAGAGGAGGCTGCCAGCTAGGATCCGGAGGTGGAGGCGGTGGCTGCTGGAACCGGCCAATACCTGGGGCTATTGGAGGGGTATTTAAACTCAATTATAATAGACATAATAATAGAAAGTAGTAAATACATAATAAAATAACAAAGAAAGAAAATAAAACAAAATAAAACAAAAGTGGAAAAATAGAATCAAGGAATCAAATCAAATAATAAGTAGTAACGATTTAGGGATAGCCGTTATAACTTAATGAGTAAGTTGGTGCGTCTTTTAGTGTCAACCCAAATAACTCATTTTTTTAATGTCAGGTATAACCTCACCGAAAGATGACCAAAATCTATCATAGTTGGGGGTGAAATTTTATATTTTCATTTTAGGTTTTAGTTCAATTTTGTGTTGAGCCATAGCATAGCACCCTGGTAATTAACAAGCATTTATATGTAGTAAGAAGTAAAATTTTGTAGCGGTTGTTTGCCAGCGACTAAGCCCAAACTTTGTACAGTTGAAGTTAGATTAACTATGTTTTATATGAAACTTATTCTAGCCAAACATTTACCTCATACCATGCCTTTCAAATTTGATTTGAATGCATATCTTATATTTATCCAGTTTGAAATATTTGTACTCCAAACCTTCTCTAAATTAGTTTCATTGGTCTTATATAAAGTGCTTAACATGTACTCGCTTTGATTTGATACATAAAACAAGCCTGGGTTTACTAGAATTACTAACATTAATGTTTGTGAATGTGCAAATTGTGATGAAAGCGAACTAGTTTCTTTAGGGATCATATTTGTGATAATAGGTTAGTATAATTTATTGATCTCCTAAATGTGTGTGTGTGTGTGTGTGTGTGAGTGTGTGCAAAACGCTCATTCCTATCACAACATTTCTAACGAATACTAGGTAGAGCATGCCTGCATGTTTTAAAAACTCTTTTTTTAATTTCTCGTATACATGGATAAATTTGTAATGTGAATAAAATGCCTACAAGAACTAAAACAGGTGCTAAATGAAGATAAATCATTAATTTTATTCTACTAGCTACAATTCAATCATTTATCTTAGCATTTGGAGAATCAATATCATGATCACAAGAATAATAAATGCTAGAAAATGCATTTCATAAGAAATCATTTAATAAACTAGCATTTTCATACTCTAAACTCCTAATTTTAATTTGTAAAGCATTTCTTTTCATGAATATATGTTATAAAATTGTTTTCTGGTTTTTATTTTCTTCAATAAACATAGAACATAAAATTGTGTTCTTTTAACTTGAGATAACTATGCTTGAGTTTGTTAATTTTTTCATTTAAAGTATATATAATTTTCTTAAATGATTTTGACTCCTTCCTAGTAGAAACATGTTTCTCCTGCAAATTCTCATGAACATCTACTGGTTTATGAAAAAAATTGGATGTTTTATTGTATGAAATTTTATTTAACTCATTTTTCTCAAAGTTGTATTGGGTACAAGAAGATGTTGGGGAGTGCCCAACTTTCTTTCTCTTATTTTTTTCTACAACAAGTGTTACAAGGATCTTAGTTTTTTTTTTACTTTTCTTTCTCTCCACACTTTGTCCTGTTCTTCTTATTGTCTCTAATATTGGAGGACCATCTTTGTGAATTTTCAATCTTGAACTTTTTGACATTCTCCTTAATCTTCTAACTTGATCACTTATCATATTTTGAACACTAAGCAAAGAAGTTAGTCCGTCTAAACTTTTCTGCTGGTTTTAAGCTTTAAAACATGTTCTCATCTAGTTGGAGAGCATATTGTAAACAATCAATATAAAAATTATTTGTTTTACTCGATTCAATTTCTTTTCAAGAAGATGATTGCCCATTGAAAACAGTAAATCATAATTTTGGAAAACAACCCAAACATTACAAAAGCTTCATAAATCAAAATTTAACTTTTCTAGCATGGAAGAATGGTCACAAGAATATGCAAAATCCAAAATGCGTGTTGTAAGGATCTTTTGCAAAGTTTAAAATGCTTAGAAAGAACATCAAATATTTTTATGAATTTTTAGCTTAAACTTACATCAAGAAAAGGAAGAGTAACATAATTTAAATCATTTCAAATTTTACCTGACCAAACCCCTTCAAAGGCAAGCATGCGGAAGCAAAAATTTAACAATCAAATATCCCAATAAAATACAAAGGATATATACAAGATGTGTTAGTCTAATATGTTACGTGTTAATCACAACTTATTTGATACTATCTTCAATAATATTAGCGCATAACTTGTAATTATTAAATCTATCCTACGGGTGTAAGACGATATATGTGAATAATGGTCCATAATAAATAATTAATTTTTAAGTGAGTGATGCAACTATTAAGTGAAATGATATAAATAGCTTCACTATACAATCTGAGGACCAAAACAACAATTTTCCATGTTATAGATATGGTGAAATAAATTGATCTATGCAATGTGAGAGTAATATACTTATAAGTACAACCTAAATGATATACTCTACACAGGAGTACAATAATATAGAATTTATACATAATCAAGCATATTTTGTGTGTGAATAATGAATATAATTTTACAATTATGAAACTTGAGCTCACAAAAACTTACTAATACAACAACAACTTACTAATAGTATTAGTAATTAATTCCAAGATGACATAAATTGTTAGTGCTTGATTATTAATTATTATGATTTCTCTAAATAATAAAGGCCTATAAAATAAATAAATTTTAATAAATTTAAACAACTTCTCAGAATTTATGAGATAATTTTTGTAATATCTAAATTTTTTTGAATAAATATAGATAAAATGTAATCATTTTTTTTTGTGGTCACTATCAGTCCCACTTTTTGTAAATTCACTGAATCAAGTTACTTTAAAATCTACTTAAAAGTCACACTCTAGACAATGTTGATCTTAGTTGAACTTTCTCATGAGTCTTCATGACTTTGCACTTTGAGTCCATCCTTCAAATAGCAAATTAGTCCTAAGTTAGCTTTGTGGAAGCAATCTTTCATTTTGATGTTTGCCATTAAATGATTAACCTGAAAGGGAACACAGTCAATTATCAAATAAGATTTATTATCATTAAATTCACTTAGCGAGTCATACACGAGTCAAGTAGGCTCATGAGGTAAAAAAGCTCTTTTGTTGATAAATATTAAGCTTTAAACTGCCTTTAAAATATGTCCTTACTCAGGTTAGGAAATACTGTATAGGTGTCTCCGGGACAATGGTACATTGGATTTTTTAATGGCCTTGGACCCGAACGCACTCAGTCAAAGATGGTAAGTTCTTCAGTTAGCAATGTTTCATTAGTATTAAGTATAACTTCAACCTTCTGAATGGTAGTCTTTGTAAACATTTTATAAAATTGCAGATTAGCCGAGGTCATTCTTACACGATAAGTGCAAGCATAAATGTGGAAGGATGTGATTCTTCAACAACATGGGGTGCTTACTGCAACAATACATTCGATATGATTTCTTGTTCTCAATCTTCTAATTATAATCATCCTAGGAACCTTTTAGATGTCAATTTGTACAACAGCAGGAACCTCAAATATGATAATTATGTACAAAACCCTGTTAAAAGGAGAAGGGTGGCCATAAACTCCAATATTTCCTTACCAGCAGAACTTTTGGTCAGCTGTAATAATTCTCTGTTGTCTTGCATTGGCAATGGAGAGCTAAAAGTCTACTCTTTGGATATAGTAGTTCCAGTAGCTCAGTTCAGCATCACTGTTGCAGAGCTAATGTTGAATCAAACATCTGTATCTAACGGTTTGGCAGGTTCTGAAGGAATTCTCGTTATGTGTTATGCTCGATATAATGCAATGCCACTTAGTTCGGTGCATGATTATTCTGCTGAAATAAGCAGGAACCCCTTAATAGTTAATTCTCCTAGAATTGGACAGTGGTTTGTTGCCCTGCAGGTTCTGAACCAGAAAAAAATAGATGGAGAAATTGAAGGAAACTTTTCTTTGGCCACGTTGTGTTTTTCTTTAGAGTGGCTATTGTATCAGTGCAGTTATGGGAAGGCTGGACAGAACTGCACCTGGGAATCACATGCTCTTCAGGTATGAATATCTCCAGTACTGTTGAACCTAATAAGGACTTGCTGTTCATTTTATGTTTGCGACATTTACATGCATAGCTCACAATTCTTATGCATCTACATATATCACACCTAAATTTTTATTTTTACATCCATAGCATTCAAATCTTTAATATCACATCAAGAATAGCATTATTACCACTTTTTAAAAGTCAAATTCATATTTTCGTGCATAGGTTTACGACACCGAAGTGTTGTGTAAGAAAATATAGAAGTTTAGATTTAAGATATGTAAATACATAAAATTTGTGTGCAACGTATGTAAATTTCTCTATATGTTTTCGTCATCTGATTGTATCCATAGGGCACAATGCATAGTTGCTTTTGTGCAACACCAGGTAGGTTTGAATGCAAAGAATAGTGCAAATTGGGAAATTTCTCTTATTTGTTTTTAGTTACAAGTGCATGTGCTATACTGATGGATAAGTTTATGTTTCCTTTGTAGGTAGTAAATTTAGGGGAAGCGCCTCTGTGAGGACTGGAAACACAAGTCAGTAGAAGCAAAGATAAGGGTTACAAATGGGTTAGTCAGTAGTGGCAAAGAAATCCTAGCAAGAAGGCAAGGGTGTGAATTGATTATAAAGATTAACCAGGCGAGTCAGTTCCCGTGGAAGGAACAACAACTGTGTGAGTTAGTGAAGAAGCAAGTGAGAGTTGTGTGAGAAGAAATGATCTAATGAGCGTGCAATGTAGCAAATCAATGGTGGAGAGGCTGTGTGGAAGTGGGTCCTATGAGAGTATTGATCAAGCGATGTGTTGCTACATCAATGGTGGAGAGGCTGTGAGGAAGTGGGTCCTATGAGAGTATTGAGCAAGCGATGTGTTGCTTGAGTCAGCTTAGGAGTTTTCTTTATTTTAATTTATTTTATTATTTTGATTTTGTATAGACTTTAGAAACAAGGTTGAAACTTTTTTTGTAATGGATTAAGAGGACAAATAAGTTTTTATTTGAGTAGACAATTGTTGAGGATTTCTTGATCTTTTATTTAACTTCATCTAAATTATAACATGGGGTGACCACCTTGCTTGTGGATTGTGAAATGGATGCCCATACCAATGTCTTGGCAAGTCACATTCCAGTAGGCTCCAAAAATACCTTCTAAAATACTTTTGATTGTGAGGTCTAATTGTTGAGACCGGAGATTCAATGAAATGCTGAACACCTATTTGAGACATCTAAAGAAAAATTTGGAAAAAAAACCATACAACACAAGAATCACAGAAAAATACAAGAATACCAAGATTTAATATTGAAAAACCCGAAAAGGGAGCCTCGCCGCACCAAGAAATTTACTATGAAGAAATGAGAAGAAATATGCACATTACACCTCACCCAAGTCTCTCTACAACTTGTAACACTCTGGGATGCTTCTCCCCTCTCTTTCACACAAGAGAACTCGCAATATCCAACTCCAACGCACATAACACACATAACAAACCAACGAAGATGAAGACTTAAATTCCCAAAATGTAGAAATTCTATTACAGGTGCAGCTGCACCCCTCCTGGGCATCGAGTTTCGTTCGACTTTGTCCCAGAAACATGGTGTTGGGAGCCTAGGCACCCTCACTAGTGTTGGTTTCTTGCGCTCTGTTTCGGAGGCAGGACCGGGAGCTGTAGCGCCCCTAGTGGCGCTGGGGTCCCCTTGCCAAGTACCAAGCCACCTCCCAAGGCTCTAGGACGCTCCTCCTTACCACAATCAATCTTCTACTTGGGAGACTAATTGCAATTGATTTCTCTCCTCTAAGTCTATACCAACTTCGTAGTGATGTACTGTAGTGCGGCTAAACCTTAGTCTCAAACTTCTTGAATTCCAACTGAGGCCAAACATAGTTTTAGTTTCTCAATTGTAACAGTCTTAGTCAATATATCTGCAGGATTTTGAGCCGTGTTTATCTTCTCTAAAGATAATTGACCATCTTCTAGGAGTGAACGAATGAAGTGATACCGTAGTTGGATGTACTTTGCCCTGACATAAATGTGGTGTTTCTCTCAAGTATCCGAGAATCCACTTTGCCACCTCTCAATAATATTCTTCTGGATTACCTGTATATCTGCTGACCACTTATTGCATATACAATATTTAGCATTGTCTATATTATCACATATATAAAACTTCCAATAATTGAAACACAACAGATTTTTCTTATTTGTGTTTGTTCTGCTTCAGACTTAGATAATTGTTCCTTAGATAATTTAAATTGACTACTTAAGAGGGTGTAAATTGGTTTTGCCTCACTTATGTTGAATATGTATAAGTTCTTTTCAACATATTGTGCCTAAGACAACTTCAATGTTCCTACACTCCTATCATTACCCAATCTCATGCCGATAATTTTAGTTGGACCTAAATTCTGCATTTCATATTCTCTTGATAGTTGCTCATTCAAATCCCTGATCTTCTCCATATTTGCATCCACAATAAACATGCCATTAACAAACAAAAGAAACATAATATAACAATTACAAAATGTTTGATGAAGCAACAACGATTTTCTTAACACTTCATGTACCCATTATCTGACATAAACTTATCAAATCTTTTGTACAACTGTCTTGGGGTCAGCTGCAAACCATAAAAAAATTTTTAGTTTGCGGACCGTATCTTTTATTCATGAAATTTTATATCCTCGTGGTTGCACCATATATAGTTCATCTTCTAAGTCACAATGTAGGAAGGTTGTTTTCACATTCATCTACTTCAGATGTAGATATTTCTGCTATCATGCTCAACACAATTTTGATAGTTGTCATTTTCATTATAAGAGAAAATATCTCGTTATAGTCTACTTATTCATTTTGCTGAAACTCTTTCAAAATAAGCCTTGTCTTATAATGCTTGCTATCATCTCACTGTTCTTTCAGTCTGTAATTCCACTTGTTGTGTAGTGCCTTTTTACCATCTGGTAATTCTTCTAAATATTATGTCTGATTTAACCTCAGTAGTTGTATCCCGTCATCTGTGAATAACTTCCACTCCTTAGAGTCTTCAACTCGAGTGATTTCGTCATAGTAATTTGATTCACTACTATTAGTTAGCAATAGATAGTACAAGGAGAATACCTCTGTATTGGCAATCTGATTTTGCAGGAGGTGCTTCATTAGATCGAGCACCTTTTATTTTTCCATCTTCTTGATCATCAATATCTTCTATCTCGATATATTTGGAAGACTCTTTAGATGTAACTGAAGGACAATTCTGAGTTCTGTTTTTCTCTTTGTATATCTCAATTCCATTGAAAGTAACATCCCTGCCCTTAATAAACTTCTGATTCTAATTTTCCTAGAATTTAATCTGAAATTCATCTGAGCATGCTGAATAAAAGTGCACTTGAGAGATTTTGAATCAAGTTTAATCCTGGATCCTGCATCAACATGAACTTCGGATGAACACCTAAATAATTTCAAGTGATAGATTTACCTCCCTGTCACTCGAAGCTTCTCCAGGTAACCCCTCATTAAAATGTACCGACAAAACACAATATGGGATAAATTGTAATATCTACTACTTCTGCCCAGAATTGCTTTGACAAGTCTACATGCAACCTCATACTCTTGGCATGCTATGCGATGATTCTATTATTGCGCTTAGTTACATCATTTTATTTTGGTGTCTTTGGAACAATAAACTCATGTCTGATTTCTTCTGAAATACAGTAACTTCTGAACCTCTGATCACGATACTTGCCACCATTATCTGATATGATATACTTCAACCACAAGCCAATCTCATTCCTAACTGTCACTTTCCACTTTTAAACACGTCAAACACATCATATTTATATTTTAAGAAATACACCCATACCTTGCTGGTGTGATCATAAATAAAAGTGGAAAAACATTAAGAACCTTAAATAGGAAAAATTGGAGTACGACCCCATACACTATTATACACTAACTCCAGTTTTTTGAACTTCATCTTTGACCCATTTTTAGAGAAAGTAACTTTCTTTTGCTTGCTATAAACATAATCTTTACAAAAATGTTGCTATATAAAATCATGAAGCTTTGTTTTAGAAATAAAACTTCATTCATTTCACACTCATATGACCAAGCCTATGGTGCCAAATTATCGCATCAATCCTTGTTCGAACTACACCAATGATTCATACATCTCATTGGTTAGTTAAAATGTGCCTTCAATTTTGACTCAAGCTATCAACATTGCCTCTCTGGTCACCTTTCTCAAATCACCTGTGAAAGTAGTTATATATCCTGATCTTGTAAGTTGACTTACAAAACTCAAATTTCCTTCAAATATATAACATGTCTAACTTTATTAACGGTCTGTTTGAGACAACTGTTGATTATTTATAATCTGCTGATAAACAGATTATTCTGATAATCTGTAGATTATCAGAATTAGCTAGCTTGATTATCAGAATTAGCTAGCTTGTTGTTTGAGGCAGCTTATTCAGAACAGCTTACTGGAAGCTGTTGTTGGATAAATGACCATTTTGCCCCTGATTGTTCCCCTAATCCTAGCACCATTTGCTTCTCAAACAATTGTAGACTACAATTGATTAATCTATGCAAAAGTTTAATGTTGACAATCTCTACTTTGATGCCATAATCTATTTATTATTATTAGTAATATATTTTTGGGTTATTTAGATGTGAAAACATATTCTTTCTACTGTTCTGATATTTTCTACATATTTTATACTTGTTCTGATCATTACCTGTTTCTGTATTACAGTCTTTCTACATTACATTCTTCTAAGTTCTAATTTCTTCCTCCCTGGCACAATTAATAATAAAAAATACAGTCTTTGTAATTCCACAGCTTTCCCCATTGAAAGAGATAGAAGACTTGCCTACTCCAATGGAAGAAGCTTGGCTGGCAAGAGTCATGTTAACGAACAGCCTCTGTTCCGTCTTCCTGCTTCTCTCCAGAGTTCGCAGGAGGGATTCGACGATTCCCAAATCAGCGCGCAGCTGGACTAGTACCGCCGCCCATATCGCCAATAACCCCATCCACGAATGTCGTTTAGGAAAGGGAGAAGAAGAAGAGGGAGAGAGGGAGAGAGGGAGAGGGGAAGGAGAAAGTTCGTCTATGGGAGACGAGCTAAAGGAAAAGGCATACATTACGCAGAGCTAGGGCAGGAGACGGGAGAGCAGGGGGTGCACGATATTGAGAGCGGAGAACAGGGGAGCTTGATCGCAGAGCTAGGGCAAGAGACGGGATCGAGGGGCTGCTTCGTAATAAGCTGTGCCTAAACGCGGAACGCGGGCCTCTCCTAGCGGCAAAAGATCCACCAGATCGTAACATAAACCCTTACGTGCGATCCCCGACCGTCGGCCCCAACGCATCAACCAAACTCCTTCACGGCGTTGCGAAAACGCCAAACGCAATAATAAGCTACGCCAAACGGACCCTAAGTTTCTAGATTGATCTATTTGATAATTTGATATCAACATCACTATTTTCTACAATACTGTAAGTATTGTTATCTTTCAAATATGCATTTTTTAGATCACTTTGAGTATAGTTTTTGAACACCTTTTTGTTGGGACAAACATGAAAAGAAGCTCTTGAATATGCTATCCAAGATTCAATACTAACTAGGGATAAAGTTAGGGTCACTTTGGATTTCATCAATAGAGACATTTGTAGAGAGTTTTCTATACGAACCTTCACCACCGACATTCTTAGAAGTTCTATAGTTTTTCTTAAAATGATATTTCTTCCCACAATTCTAACTATCACCCCTACCTCTTTCTCTCATTAACCTAGACTTTTCTCTCATGAACTTGAATATTTCCCTGCTTATGTTTTTATTCAGATTCCTTCCTCTGTTTTAAATATTCAAAACAGAATATGAAGTTTCGCTGCTCGCCTATTTCTGAACTTCTTTATCAGCACTAACCCCATATTGTAATCAAAGTTTATTTCAAGTTTTCTGAAGAGTTTCTCATTGCAACGATTAGTCCATTGTTACCATCCGAGGCAGAAATTGGCGCACTTTTCTACTGAAATTAAGGCAAACACAAATCTTTATTGCAATAATCCAAATAACTCACATAAACACAAACGATAAGCTCCCACAATTCAAGAGGTAGGCGATCTCTTTTAATTCCTACAATTCGAGAGGTAGAAAATCTCTCTCAAATCCTAAACCTACGACTCACCACTGAATCCTTGCATAAACATAACCTTAAACATAGCAAGCCTATTTAACAATAATAATAATAAAAGATGAAACTGTCCTTAGGCATACAAAATACAAAATTGCCCTTAGGATAGGAACTAATGTAATAATACCGCCCGCCCCTCACCACCTCCCCCACCCAATTGTCCTCAAGGTGAGAAAAAGTGAGTGTTCCTCCTCCCCATAACTTTCTCTATTTTTTCATTCTCTACGTCCTTGTCATGCACTATGAGAACTTGTAATTTTCGATCCTTGCAACAGTATCTTGGTATAAACTTCTCATCACACCAAAAATATAATCATTTGGCTCGCTTCTCCCGAATCTTTACCTCTGTAAGATGCTTGAGTATTGCTCTCGATCGTGGTCCATTGTTCGTGTCCTGTGCAGTTTGGTATGCCATTCCATTTGTGTTGCTTCTGTCGGCCTTCTCCATATGATGCTTGTCCTCTACTATCTAAGCTAGCTCCTGTTGATCTCATTTTTGGTGAGGTCTAGTCTTCCTCTTAGGCTTTAGGATCTAGCCTTAGGGATCTCCCTTCGACTATCTTAGAACCTTAGAAATGGAACACACCTTGTTTTAGAAATTCAACCCGCTTCTGTACTCTTTTGTGGTTCCAAGTGTGTGGTATCGACTTCTAGCATTTAGAAGAGTGAAACCAACTGAGGAAACCCAAAAGGGATTCTTATAGGACCTTTTAAGCCTTAGGGTGATCTTTTGCACAATTCGCGCTCCCGCGCACAAAACTTTATAATTCGGAGAGTCGACACTTCCGATCGCCACGATTCGCCTCGTTTGCACTGTTACTTGTCGAATGTTCGAGTTAACCTTTTGAAACGATCGACCACGGGTCGAAGTTTTGTGAAATTTGAATTTTGAAGCGTTTTTGACCCGATTGTCGACGACGTCATCCGCGACGTCGTCCGAGCGACCTCGGATGACAAAACGGACTGCGCCGGCGCGTCCAGAACGTCGATTTTGCCTAGGGAGAACCCCCATTTTGTTACGTCGCCGCGCGTGAATAAATCGGATATAATTTAATGTATATATATATATATTTATATATATATATGTATATATATATATATTAATTTATATTGAAACTATTTTTACCCCTTTCCTCTTTAGCCCTAACTTCCCATTCTCCGCGTCCGAGCTATGCCTCCCTTCCTTCTCCCGTTCGCGTGCGTGGCCCTTTCCCTTGCTCATTCTCGAGCCGGCCGAACTCTTCTTCCTCCGCGCAAGAGAGGGTTGACCTCGTTCGTCCTTGCCTGACATGCTACTGCTCGCGGCCCTCCTTCCCGAAGTCGTGCCAGTCTCTCTAAGCTGTGGTTTTCCTTTTCTTGGTAGCTTGACTCTGGGAGTCTTGTTCCCTGGTACACTTTCGACAATATTTTCTCTTCTCCCTAATGCTTCCCTCGCTGCCACTACTCTCGCCGCTCGGTTCGAGAGACTTTGGTGGCTTCGCCTTCTGTGAGCAGAGAGTGTGTCCTTTTCTTCTTTGGCCCGATTCAAGTGCCGTGGACTGTTGGGGGGGGGCTTTTTTCTCTTTTTTCTATTTTCCGCCTC